ACTGGGATACGAGCACAGCAGTGCTGAGCCGCACCTGCCCGAAGTGAGCCGCACCTGCATCCCATCCCCACCCTGCCCGGCCCAGCTGGGCAACCAGCAGCAGGGCAGAGCCCCTACTCCAAGCGCTGCCGTGTCCACATCCCACAACCCCCCACTCTCCTTCCTGAGTCCCATGCCCCCAACCCCAGCTGGGCAGCTTGCCCCAATGCCCCTTCCCTTTCCCAACCCCAACAGACTTACCAGCTGGAAGCAGCTGCGTCCAGCGTGATGAGGACCGTTGCCTGTTTAGTCTATGGCCAAATCTCCAAAGTGGTGCCGAATCTTTTCCGAATCGATTTGGAGGCTTCCAATTCAATTTGGAGCTTTTAACTCATCTCCCAATTCGATTTGGATTTAGAGAATCGTTCGGCCCGATTCGGCAGCTATCCTCTGAATCAAATTGGCTACTGAAGCTTTGCACAGCCCTAGTTGTTAGTATATAATTCTTCTTGCAATTTTAAATGTTTGTCTCGGTTACCTTAAGGACATTTATCACCAGAAGGATGAGATATGCAAAAGCAAATTCCCATGTGTGCATGGAAAACAAGCTGGGTTTGTGACAAAACTTTGGAAACGAGCAGTGTGAGAAAGATGGGACACTGGCCCTGAGTCCATCACCGGCTGTTCTACTTGCTCCTCAGAGTTATTGACATACTTGCTGTAATGCAGGGGTTCTCAAACTGTGGGTCATGACCCCTTGGGGGGGTCACAAGTGACTTAAGAGGGGGTCGCAAACTTCTCTTCCCTCCCCAACGCACAAACACTCTGCCTGCTTCCCTCCCCCAGCGGCGATGCACGTTTGTGGACTTGCCTACATTGGAAGCGTCTCTTTTGTTTTCTAATCTCAGCGTGTATGGTTTAGTGAAGCTCAGTATTTATCTGTCAACAGTTCGATTAACTGTGCAATTGAGTGCGAGTTTTTTCAGCAGTTTCTTTTTCAGCAGTTGCCACTATTAAGAGCAAATACTGATCAAAAATAAATGTGGAGCGTGAAATGAGACTATTTTTGAGACTGCCAAAGCCCAGGTTTGAAAAACTAACAAGTGCCAAGCAAGCTCATCCTTCTCATTGAAAACTATTGACAGTTTTAAATTTGACAGTTTTTTCAATGAAACAGTTTTGAATTTGATAAGCTTTATAAAGTGTTTTTTGACAAATATATTTCATTTAATATACAAAGGTAAATGTGCTTTATTTATCTCCTAGCTATCCTAATGAAATCAACAGCTTTAATCACTGGGGCTCGCGTAAATTTATATATTATTTTATGGGGTTGCTGTATCACAAAGTTTGAGAAACTCTGCCATAATGCACCTTTTGCTCTTCATGGAGCTGTACAATCCTTACAGTGCCACCACCCAGAATCAGAATTGTCACATTAAAATAAGCCCACGCATGTGGCACTGGGGTGGCAAAGGCCAATAACTTTTTAGAAGGTTATGCTAATTACCTTTTGAACCACCAAGAAAGATTCCCAAGAGTCCACTATCTAGCAAATCAGAGGACTGCTCTCATGCTAATGTGTAATCAGAGCACTGAACACAAAACGTGGTTCCTTTGTAAGTACAGTAAAAGCTCTATTATAACGAAATAGGCTGGTTAATTGAGTGGTTCCAGCCGCCGTTTCTCTCGCCACGTTTGGGGTGTCCCTCCGCCCCTTCCACGGCATTGCCGCCCCTCCTTCGGGCCCCGCAGGACAGGGTGGCAGGCCCTGCACAGCCCCACGCAGCCTGTTATGCCCCTGGGCCATGGAGGCTTTGGCAGCGCAAGCTGCTTTGCCCCCGGCTGTGGGGGCTTGGAGAAACCGGAAGTGCCGGGGGGGCGGGGGCTCAGAAAAACTGGAAGTGCCACGGTGGGCACTTCCGGTTTCACTTTACCTTACAAGCCAGCATGCCGGTTAATTGAGCATGCCGGCTTGTAAGATGCCGCATAGCGCAGTTTTTACTGTAGTATATTTTTAAGGATTTTTTACTGTTTTATTTCCCCTTAAGGGACCCTTCCCCATGAGTGTATCTTGAGATTCTCAGGAAGGGATCCTCCAAGAACACAAGAAATTTCACTGGCAAGAAGGAAAGCATATGAATATAAACAGATGCTCAGAGGAGGGGGTAAAGGAAAGAGGTACATCCAGGACATGGGGGACACAGCGCTCTCCTGCTGAGGAGTGATTGCCACTGATACAAAGCCAACATTGAGACAGCTGGTCTCCTCTTTAGGAGCACAGAGTCGGGCATAAATCTATAGCATCACTTACCAGAGTGGGGAGGGAAAGCAAGGGCTGCTGAATTCTGGCAAAGCTTTCTTGTTAATTTCTCTTGGCTTAATCAAATAGTAACAACCTTGGCCAATAAAATCCTGCTGTGGATTCAGCATTAGCCCAGCCAAATGGGCAACAGACGTTGTTCATTTCAGGGTTTCCCTGACTGCTTCCAGCTCAGCAGGGATTCCCTTCAGAGTCACAATCAACAGGATCTGACCCTAACAGCACATGCTGGGCAAAGTGGGAGGGGAAGAATAGCTATGGGGTTGAAGGTCCGTTGAGCCTTACCGTGTAGTTCGGATTTCCTGGCTGAATACGTAGCTCAGCCAAGATCCAGATACCATTAGTTAGCTTCAGAGACTGGTAGAGCATGTCCTGGCCTTCCACGTTCCTCTTGGCAATGGTGTAAACATTGTTGTTCTGTAGCTTACTGGAAACAGCATCTGCAAACAGCAACAAAGTCACTGTTAATTCAGGGCCATGCACAAAGTGCCCAGAGAGGAAAACAGGTAGCAGCATCCCTAAGATATGTGTATGTGCCAGGAGGAGCTGACAGCCATAAGACAGTGCCAGTCTATGGCTAGAGGAGCAGGTCTGACAAGAGGAAGATGAAGAAAGAGAAGATTTGGTCTAAAGTGCTCTATCCTCCTGGAGACCACATGCTGGAGTTGGGGCTTCCTGCT